GAGCTGATTGGAAAAATGCAACTGTGTCTTCACTGCAGTTGATCCATGAAAGTAGCTGGTTTTTGTTGATACAAAACGTTCTCTCTCGTTCATTTTTATTGTCGTATGCATTTTGGCTGTCCTGCTCATTTCTATTCGCATTAAATAAAAAGCAGTTCATTTATTCTCTTCATAAAATTGCTCTTCTCACTCAGTTATACATTATTTCGAAAAGCGTTCGAAATAAATTGTTAATTTCACAACAAAACTGAATTGACATTCACGTGAAAAACAGCGCCTACTGCAATGATACGCGAAGATAAAACCAATTACTGTGCGTTTATACAGTTTGTGAGAGGCAAGATTACGTCTGTACATATGGATTTTAATGTGTGCATGGGTGTGTGTGTGTGTGTGTATGTGTGTTTGTGTGTATGCATGCATGTATGTGTGTGAAGCATGTCAAAACAAAACATCTCCAAATGCTAAATTTGCGAACACATCCCAGGCTTTCGCACGGCCAATGTACCGCTGATGTTTGGCAAAGCCAATAGGCGCAAGTCGGAAAATACGAATGTTTGAAAGGTTCCAGGTCATTTTCAAACAAACGCTCGGAAGGTCGCTGATGAGATGAAACAAACCTACGCGAATACTATATGAAGTGGATATGATTATCCTAAAACAGACCGGAAAGGAAGAGGTGCCAGCTGCGGAGGTGGCGAGAAGAAACACAAGGATGAAGAAAGGCTGCGTGAAATACTAAAGCAAAGGAACTCAGTTTAAAAATAATGAAACTAACGAATCAATATAGCTGTGCTGAGCGTTAAATGTTGAGTGCAGGGTTGGCCTTGTCCATTCAGTCTCATCATCATAATCGTAAGTATCAGCATAACTGACCGGCTCACTTAATGCTCGGTGCTGGCTGGTTACCATGATTGCCGCATCCGGATCACCAAATAAACGATAGGTGAAGCGCAGCTCACACTGTAGAATTAGATCGCAATTACGAATTTTCCTTGCTATTTTGGAACTCTCCAAGCAATTAAGTAAGCAAGTGTTTTGGAACTTAATGAGCCTCTATTAGAGCAAGTGGAGTTGAAAAGCACCTGAACCGACAAATGCTGGTAATATGGACTGATGATCATTGCAGGCTCCTCACGCGTTTTTGTTGAATTAAAGTATGCGTAGTGAGCTGAAAATAGCCAAAAATGATGGTATGCATCAGGTAGGTGATGCACTACACTGTGTTCTTTTTACATGATTCGCTGCACCATATACCATCAATGAGCGCATTTTACTCCGTTTTTGTATTTACGAAATCAGCTATTCTAAGATTATAGAGTAAGGCTTACCACTTGACTCCAGGTTCCCATCTTGAACTATTTGTGGACTTGTTCGCCTTCCCTCAGAATTACAGGTTATGACTTACTGCTATTCACAGGTTTAAAACTAGATCGAATCTAACAGAGTGTTCGAAATCTACCGCAGGATCGAAGCTAAAAATCGAAGCGAAAGAGATCGAAGCCAACAGCAAAGTCAAAACAAAAGTGCCCTGCAAAAGTTCTACTCGGCGTTATATAGGGCTTGCAGGACAAAATTAAAGCAACGGCAGTCTACATCCTCTACATATGGCAACATCCCCTAAAAATTCCAATCCTCTAGCTTCTCAGGTTCCCAAGTTAGCAACTTACCTGAAAAAAAGATTTCACGGGCCCCTGCATGAGTACCACGCACACCCGGTGTCTGGGTTTGAAGCTCATTAAGGCTTACCCGAAAAAAAACTTGGCGGGTCCGCACGTGAAAATTGAGCTGACATTGCAAATTAAGCACAGAGAACAATAGAGGAAGATCTCACTTGATTTTACGATTACAGATCAGCACAGAAGAATTTCTACCTCCTAATTTTGATTGTTTTAAAGCTGAATTATTTTTGAAAAGGCGAATCTGCTCGGGCATAAACAACGTGCATAAAAGACCAACATTTTCTTGCTCCCTTCTCGTTCTCTCACCCCTCCTTTTCCTACTGATATTGCGCTTTAATTGCGTAAACCATTAATATTATAACTCAAAAAAATCAAAAAATTAAAGCAAATGATGCAAATTTTATCTAAAATGACTTGAAAGAACTAAGCTGCAACGAAACAAATGATTGAATGAAGGAGCAAAAAATTCTAATCGTTTATTTACTAAAAAAGTGCTTCGCCGGACCAAGAAATAGGAATTTTAGGCAAGAAGCACTAGAGCTGGAGCATATCCCTTTTCTCATTGTCGAAAATTAAGTGCCTTTCTGGACATTTCTATAAATTTTACGTTTGAATTTGTTGCTATTTTATGTCTGAAGTTATGCCGAGAGCTTTTATAGGACTGTAAGACGTACTAGGTTTTGAATCGCGATTGCCAACAATCATTTTAAAATTGTGCCGCGGGTCACGTGGGTATTTTCGAGCTGGACTCTCGAATGTCCAGTCGCATTTCGTCTCAAAGTCACATAACATGCCTGCAAATAAAATCTTCATCGCTCGATAACACTAGTGGAAGAAAATCATAGCAAAGCAATTCTCTGAGATACGATTACACAACTAGGAACCAAACCCACCATAATTTACCTCCTCAGTTTCATTGTTTAGTGGCTGGATTCTCTGCGCAGGCACAAATAAAGAGCTTTTTGGTTTTTACACGCCACGGTGAATCCATAATACGACGGAGGAGCGAGACGTGGGAAAAGGGACAGAAAAGTGTTAAGGGGAGCAGAGGAGGGAAGTGGTAAGCGTAAACTATTTTTACATGCAGCAAAGCTTCTTTTGGAAATTTAAAGCATTTTTATGCGTTTTTGCATAATATGCAAATGCGAAAACGCATATTGCGACCAACCCGGTGTGTGTGTATGTGTGTGTGTGTGTGTGTGTGTGTGTGTGTGTGTGTGTGTGTGTGTGTG